CAAAGACTTGTACAATAAAAAGAATATACAATCTCATTCATAATTTTTTCACTGATTAAATGTTGAAATAATATTTTATATATGACCTAAATAAAATGTCTTACTGAAATTATTTTCCCCTGGTTATTTTAACTTTTTTAAATGTGGCTACTAGAAAATTTTAAATTACACGTGTGGCTCACTCGCGACTCATGTTGCATATTTACTGGACAGTGCTGATTTAGAAAGTCAAAAGGTATTTTAAATGATGTATGTATAATATATAACATCTAAGACATTAGCAAATAAGTTTACAAGAACCTTTGTATGTCGTTTGATAGCAAGTTTCTATAAATACAGGTATAATATTATTATAATAGTATAATAATAGTATGAAAGAGGCATCATTTATTGAGTTCCAACTTTTGACAGGGTTAATGCTAAATGTTTCAGATAGATTACCCGTGATCTTCCCAACAAGGAGAAGTAATTTGGATCAGAGAGACTAAGGAATTTGCCCCAGATCACACAGCGAGGAAGTGCTAGATCCAGGTTCTGAGTGGAGGTCTGGCTGAGGCCAAGGCTTGTACCCTGTGGTACTTCAAGAAAAGAAATCAGGAGAGGCCTGTTTGGAAGTGACAATCTCTTGTGAAGTTTGTCGCCGTCTACCTTGGGGAAGCCATACATCTGTCATTAAGAAGGTGCCCCCACAGAGTCCAGACTGGTGATTGCCAGAAGGAAGGGGGGTTGGGCACTGGGTGAACGAGGTAAAGGGATTATGAAATACAAATTGGTAGTTACAGAAGAGTCACAGGGAGTATTTGCTAAGTGAAATAAGCCAGTCAGAGAAAGACAAGTGCCATATAATTTCACTCATATGTGGAATCTAATAAAAAAAAATAAACAAACAAACATAATGGAAACACTCATGGATTCTGAGAACAGACTGACAGCTGTCAGAGGGAAGGGGGGTTGAGAGGCTGGGTGAGAAAGGTGAAGGGATTAAACAAACAAACAAATTTCACAGACACAGACTAGTCATGCGGATGTAAGCACAGCATAGGGAACAGAGTCGGCAATATTTTAATAACTGTACGGTGCCAGGTGGGTGCTGGAAATATTGGGGAGAACACTCTGTAAAGTATATGATTGTCTAACCACTACACTGTAGACCCGAAATCAATACAGAATAATACTGAAAGTAAACTGTAATTTAAAAATTAAATAAAATTTTAAAAAATTAAGAAGGTGTGAGGGAGAAGCCAAATGGCAGCATAGGTAACAGCTGCACCCGCCACCTCCCGCAGCCACATCAGAATTACAACTAAAATACAGAACCACCATCATTCAGAGCCTCCTGAAATCTGGCTGAACAGAAGCCCCACAACCAAGGAGCTGAAGAAGCACTGAGACCGGCAGGAGGGGCGGAGACTCAGCCTCAGGCCCACACCTGGTGCTGCAGGTTAAACCCAGGAGGGAATCTCAGCGGTGGAGGTTTCCCGGAGGAGCGAGAGGTTCCAGCCCACAGCAGATGCCATATTTGAGTCGCCAGCACCTGACTCACACCTTTGGCCCCGCCCCGTGATTCCCGGAGGCCCCGCCCCTCCCCCCTGCAGGCTCATCCAGGCCATTTCCAAGGGCTTTTCTAAGTGGCCTCTAGAGCCCCATGCTTAGGACTTTCATAAAATCTCTCAAACGAGCAGCAGTGTGCCCCATACGGCTTGATAAGGGGACCCAGGCCTGGCACTAGCAGCAACCTGCACTGGCTCATAGCTTGGCCTCTCCTGGGCACCTCCAACCCCAGCACAAGTAGCAGCAAACTACGTTTTGCTGAGTAGCTCATGCTGGGTGGCCCTGGGCAAGGCACTGGCAGAGGCTGATTTTGCACCTCCCGGGAGGCCTCAGAGACAGTACACCTGGTGGTCAGACTCGACCATGCTGGATTACAACCCTACCACATCCACAAGTGACACAGTCAAGGGGCACACTTGGTGAAGTAAATCCTGCTCCATAGGGGTGTCTCCAGCTCAGCAGCTCTCTGGCCGTAGTTGCAGCTGGTCCTCACAGCTGATTGGGATGGGGGTCAATTCCTCCCAGTGACACCAACAGCAACCAAGACTCAACTACAACAGGACAGTGCACACAGTCCACACAGGGGAGCTCCTAGAAGGCCCAGCTCAGGTGACTGGGGAGGCTGAGCCACTGGACCCTACAGGACACCTACTACACAAAGCCACTCTACAAATTCCAGGAGACATAGCAGCTCTACCTAATACATAGAAACAAACACCTGGAAGCAGCCAAAATGTGGAGGCAAAGAAACATGTCACAAACGAAAGAACAGAAGAAATCTCTACAAGAAGAACTAAATGAAATAGAACCAAGCAAGCTAACAGATACAGAGTTCAGAATTTTGTTTATAAGGATGCTCGAGCATATTAGTAAGACTATTAGGAAAACAAGTGAGACCATCAATGACCTAATAAAATAACTATCGGAAATGAAGGCTACACGAACTGAAATGAAGAATAATTTGCTGAGAATCAAATCAGCAATTTGGAACATGAGGAAACAAAAAACACCCAACCAGAAGAGCAAAAACAAAAAAGAATCCAGAAATATGAAGATAGTATAAGGAGCCTCTGGGACAACTTCAAGAGGCCCAACCTTCATATTATTGGGGTGCCAGAAGGAGAAGAAAGAGACCAAGAAATTGAAAACCTATTTGAAAAAATAATTACAGAAAACTTCCCCTACCTGGGGAAAGAAATTGACTTACAAGTCCAGGAAGCACAGAGTGTCCCAAACAAGAGGAACCCAAAGAGGCCCACACCAAGACACATCATAATTAAAATGCCAAAGGTTAAAGACAAAGAGAGAATCTTAAAAGCACCAAGAGAAAAGCAGTTAGTTACCTACAAGGGAGCACCCATACGACTGTCAGCTGATTTCTCAACAGAAACTTTGCAGGCCAGAAGGGAGTGGCAAGAAATATTCAAAGTGATGAAAAACATGGAACTACAACCAAGATTGCTCTACCCAGCAGAGCTATCATTTAGAATTGAAGGTCAGATAAAGAGCTTCACAGATAAGAAAAAGCTAAAGGAGTTCATCACCGCCAGACCAGCACTAAAGGAAAAGTTGAAGGGTCTTCTTTAAGAAGAAGCTAATGAACAAAAGAATCTGATGAACTAAATAGATCCAGAGACATTGACGCATGCAACAGACGATCATATTTCAGAGGAAAGAGGGAAGGAGGGTGGAGGGTGGGAAGAGATTAACCCAGGAAGTTATATGCATATAAGCATAACCCATGGACACAGACAATGACGGGGTGAGGGCCTGGGGAGAGGGTGGGAGTGAGATGGAGGGGGTCAATTTGGGGGGAAAATGGGATACCTGTAGTGCTTTCAACAATAAAGATAAATTTTTTTAAAAAAAATTAAGAAGGTGCTCCTAGGTTGCTCTGGACACTGTGGAGGGAAAGGCTTTGAAAACCAGCAGCACATCTACCTGACCAGCCTGAGGACCCGCTGCTCACCCTGCTATGAAACAGGAGTGGGGCGAAGGTGTGAGGGGCCACCCAGCAAAGACATCAAAACAATGGCACCAAGGAAGGAGTGGTCAGATGCCTTCTTCGGTGCCATCAATGAGAAGAGTCCCTCTGTTTAATCCATAGCCCGGCCTAACTCCAGTCCACTATTAGAAAATGTCTCAGTAACAACAGCACTAATTGAGTGAGAAGCTCTGGAATACTCGGGTAAGAAACAGCTTGCAGCCAAAGGGGCAATGACACAGCCACAAGAGAGAAGCAGACTCGCCATAAAGCTGAGACAGACTGCCAAAAGAAAGAGTCTTCTGAGACCTGAAATACCTCCTGCCACCAAGCTTTGGAAAAATTAGGTATGCAAAGCTCTGGCACCCTTTCATCCATCTTCTGCCCCAACACGCTCCTAGCTGACAAAGCGATGGAAGTCTACAGACATCTGCTTGGCATTACCACAAGTGCCCACAGAAAGCAATTTGCCTTTCTGCAGCAGTTGGAAAAGTGTTAAGTGCCGGGTGGGGGTGATGGGGGCTTGCT